GTGCTTCTGGGTGGACTGGAACATCCAACCCTTTGATTAGTAGCTGAGTGTGTTAATCCTTTGCACCACCCATGTACTCCATGTTGGATCTAATGGGTGTGACTTCCCATCATGCACTATGATATGTTTTGGTTCTTCAGAACTCCTTCATGTATTAAGTATCAGTACAAGTAAATTGTGTAAAGTTCATACCATGGAGTATTTTCATTTTTTATGATATAATACTTCTGTGGTCTAGAAAAGTTTTAGATAAAATGGCTTCAGATTATTGTTAGGGAGAGATTAATATCCCTTTCAGCTTATCACATGAGTTCTGTATTCTACAGGATACAATAATTAGAGACTCTGTCTACTAAGTGCTAATAACGGGCTGGTTGTTTCATATATGGCTCTAATTCTCTCTAAAATTCTGAAAATCATAGTTATTCCTGTTTTATAAATGTAGAAACCAAGTCTCAGAGAAGTTAAGTAACTCGTTTGAAGCCATGCTGTCTTCAACGTAGCTGGAATGCTTGGGTTGGTATCAAAGCCTACTCCTCACAGGTCCTGTGACCCTGAGGAAGTTATTTAACGTTCTATGCCTCCATTTCCTCATTTGTAAAATAGGGGTAACAATAATATCTATTTCACAGGGCATGTACTACAGAATTCTTTCCAACCATGATGAATAAACTATAAAAGTAATAGTTCTTATCCTTTTAAGTTTCTCAGACTAGAACCAAAAAAAGCAAACCAGTTGCTGTTGAGTCAATTCCGACTCTCACACTAGAGATGAGATGAAAACATAGAAGCCCTGAAAATGCAGTTGGGTGAATGCCTTGAAACTGTCCTCAAATAGCTCAGAATCTGTATGTGCCCCCATGAACTGTGAGCACCAAGAGAGGAGGGACGGTGTCTGACTGGCTCCCTGTCATAACCTTATACCTGGCATTAATGTGAATGAGTGAATGCATAAATAATTAATCCTGTCTCTGACTCTAGCTTGTTGCGATTTTTCATAAGGAAGTTACTATCTCTATGCTTCCATTTTTTTATCGATCAGTTTTTGATTCATAATGCCTAACCTGATAGTCAAATATAGTATACGAACGTAATGTAAAATACATGAATGCTCCAGGTGTTTTACAAATCTAAACACTGCACAGACACCAGACAACATACATAATGTAAGCCTCTGTGTTTAAAAAGTTTTTTTTCAACAATTTACTTGATTTTATTTTAGTGCCTTATGAAATGATCTGGATACGTATCATATGTTTCATCTCAAAGGATCTAAAAGTCAGACTACAAGGAGTCACACATCTGAGTCTTAAGATTAGTCCACACTGGTGAGGTTTTGAAAGCAAGTAGCCCCATGCATGGGACAGTGGGATTTATCTGAAGTGACATCACTGAGTCAGTCAGGAACTGGGAGAATGACTGGGTCTCAGTTTTAATCCTGTGGTCATTTGGAGGCAGAGTTATATATTGAGCTCTGTCTGCTTCAAATATTTTCAAGGTCAACTCTGGACTTGGGTAACAGTATTTATTAGTGGAAGGATCTGGGTGAGAAGTGGTGGGATCTATAGTAGAGAAATACAGTAAGACAGCCTGGGTGGAGGAGCTGAGAGGCAAGATGATCCTTGGGTTACTTTTTAAGCTTTGGGCTGGATCATAAATCTAATGTGACCATAAAGATCATGGAACTGAACTGAAGTCATTTAACAGGAGAGGAAAATAAGTAACCCAATTTCAGAAATCCAGTTTTCAGATATTCTAATAAGTGTAGAAGTCTTACCTGTGACTGTGTAGTTCTCCCCATTGCCTGAATAGATTAGCATCCCATCCATGTATAACGAGTACTGAGTTATAATGCCATTTGCTTGTTTGGGTGGTTTCCAGGAGACTAACAAAGAATTGGGAAGAGATTTGGCTACTGGTGGCTGAACCTCTTGTGGGGCTGTAGAAAAAAAGATTTATGGAGTCTAATTTTAGTTTACTTTTCTCATTCAAACTTTTTAGACCCAAACCAATAAATCATGGAATAAGCCTGAAATCCCATGCATGCACATGTTCCTGATTCGTGGGCAGCTTGTCAGTAATTGCTTTAGGAACAGTGCTAAATAACTGTCCTGAATTTATGAGAATTTGCGTCAGTGATGGATGGTGAGTACTTATAACAGTTCAGTTGATTGATGTTTGTGTTACTTCGTCAAAAGTATTATTAACCCATAATGTCTACGTGGAGCTGTGTCTATTAAAGCGAATAGAACAGATAGAGACCCTGCCCTCGAAAAGCTTTTGATCTAAGATGGGAAACATTGGTGAGTTCTGTTCATAAAACCCGCTGCTGTCAAGTCGATTCCAACTCATAATGATCCAACAGGTCAGGGTAGAACTGCCCCA